GACGCCGAAACACCGAACACAAAAATAGTAATGCAGCTGTAGAATAAGTGGCAACAAATGACCAATACATTGGGCCGGCCTTAAAACCCAATACGTTCGGACGCCAAGGACGCGTTTGTAATTTACGCCACTACCACATGCTTCAATTAAAGCCTTTGCAGTAGCAATCCAATGCCTCGGGGGCGTTTGGCTCGTGCATTGAGGGGATTGAGTTCTAAATGTATATGCTAGTCGACTTCTCTCTGTCAAAGCATCCCTGAACAGTTGAACTGAAAAGCGCACTAGCTGCACAATAGATGAGCAGATGGTCATCCCACTTTCTGATGAAATATTCAGAAAATACCGGATTATAAAACAGACAGATACGCCAAAGACCAAACGCCAACACCATTTAAGGCTGACCTAGAGGTCAGCTGAGACCAGCTCAGGCCATATATATGAGCCAGTCAAATGAAAATAAATTTGAAGTGCTAACCGGTCGGTGTTTAGTGCGAAATAGCATTCATCTCCATACTTTAACGGTTAAGAAGATAGATTCTATACGGCAAAAGGTAGCATCGCCACATCAATAGCCATTTAAAGCCTCAACTGCGTATTGACCTGCGCCCGGCCGGGGGTCTGAGACAAACACGCCCGGCCGGGGGGAGGGGGAATTGACTCACCCCTGGGATCTTCAACTTTCAGGCGTCGTGCGAGACAATACAAAGGTACCAACGTGAAGGTCTCGTCAAATCATGAAAAATGAACACCGCAGTTTTGACCTTCTGTCAACTTTGGGGTCACTAAAGATAACAAGAGGTAAAAAAGGCATTCCGATAATGCAGCTTAAACACGTGTTAATACGGATAGGCCGATATTGAAAGCACAAAAAACTGCTAAGGCTGCGGGGAGCTCATTCCGACAAGTTTCGTTCTTCCACAATGGGCAGGCTATGTCACGTCACCGTTCAAAATTGGTCTACCCGAAGCCTACAGGAACGATACTTTTTTGTTTCTTTTACGATGTGCCTCTAAGTTTATTTCGTTTGGTGGAGCTATGGAACAATGGCATCCCAGACAGAACAATACCATTTAAGGCCGACCTATAGGTCAGCTGAGACCAGTTCAGGTCAAATAAATAAACCATCCAAATGAAAATAAATTTGAAGAGCTAACCGGTTTTAGTTGAACAGTGCAATGTTTTTTTTTCTGTGGCCAGAAATACCGTTTTGTACACCTACAGGTACTCGAGCTCATATAGCTGTTGTAGACATTTTGCACTGTCCGTTCGACGTTTGGCAATATATTTGTAACGAACTGAGAACAAGCACGTTGGTGCATGATATCATGCGTCATCGGCTTCGAAAACATGATATAGAGGGAGTTACAAACGTCACACTCGTTCATTTAGCCTCTCCGCTATTGACAATAGAGGTCATTGATCTTGTATGACCTTATAAGACCTTAGATGTTCTTACATCAGCTATTGGGACCTTAATATCCATTAAAATTATATCACATGTTTTAAATGGAGTCTTCTATTTCTGCGCTCACAATCAGCTTACACAGCTGCCTATTTTGAGCTTAGCATGTGTTTTGCAAAAGGCACCCATAGAGGTAGGTCATGACGTTAGGCCAATGTCATGAGGTCTGCGGTCATATAGCTGCGCATGTTTGCATTTTTTCCAACAAATTTTCCAACACCAAAGCTACGCAAACCTTTGCCGTTATGACGCAGAAATAGCCAAAAGTAACCGTACCTCACGTCACTGAATTCACATGTTTGAAAAAACTGAAAAAATAACCTGTGAGTACAATCATGTTCTATTAGTTTAGCACGTCAGCTTGATGGATGAACAGGCGCTGCAAATTTGACGTTGCTGCTAGCGTGTTTGCTGCGTGCTCGAAAACCCGTTGGGGGTAGTTAACTTCCACCCGGCCGAGTGCGTTTTGTTGTGGTCTAGTGGTTTCGCCGACGACTTTAAATCAATAGTTATGTTTTAGTGTTTGTCGCCGTAGCAATAAAGGAATTGATTCATGTCATCGCCAGCCTTTTTGTCGAGCGCCAGCGACAGGAGTGGCCATATCAACACTCAGTTGCCATTCCGCTAACCGGGCTCGAACTCCGACGCTGTTTTCTGCTCGCCCCGTTAACCGTGGACGAGTCGCGCAGTACTGCCAATGACCGCGAAGAGTGATAAGCGTGGAACGGACCCGAGCAATACGGCACGGCTGCAGTCCGGATTGAGAAGGAGCCAGGCGACCGCAGTCATGCAGACAAACACATATGCCCGGGATTGAGAAGGAGCCAGGCGACCGTAGTTACGCGGTCAAACACATATGGTCGGGATTGAGAAGCAGTCAGGCGACCGTAGTTTTGCAGTCAATCACATATGGTCGGGGCTGACAAGGAGCCAGGTGACCGTAGTCATGCAGTCAAACACATACGACCGGGATTGAGAAGCAGCCAGGCGACCGTAGTTTTGCAGTCAAACACATATGGTCGGGATTGAGAAGGAGCCAGGCGACCGTAGTCATGCAGCAAAACACATATTGTCGGGATTGAGAAGGAGCCAGGCGACCGCAGTCATGCAGAGTTTGACGGACAGTGCGGCAGGAAGGCGCGGTTTCGTGCTTTTGTTAGGACCAGGAGGTGGTCGACTCGTTCGTTTGTCACCCGCTCGACCTCAGGCGTGGCGGCATGAGGGGTTCGAACTGGTCCCCGCGGTATGGCCAGGGACCAGTTCGGACCACCCTGGGTGCAGCGTTAAGCACGGCGATAACTAGATCTTTCGGTATGTGTGCAACGCCTCGGGAGAGATCAGGACATAGCCCGTCCTTTTCCGACGTGGTTTACGCCACGCCTTGTAAGCCGTTGGTGACAGGGATGCTCGGTGCAGATAGGAACTCCGCCATTGACACTTGAGGAAGAGCGTCAAGGGACTGAAGTCGTCGAGCAGACAGGTCAGGCCGAGTCTCCAGAGCTCGCCAGGCGGTAGAGACCGTGAGGGGTTAACACAGATCACGTCAGGCGCTCGTTGTCTGCTGAGGTACTCCACCGGTCCATCAGGTGCGCTGTCCACCTCCAGGCCTCCGAAGGAAAGAACGCGCCACGGGGGGAGGGGGGGGGGGCTCGCAAAGCTCACTCCGGCAGGCGGAAGGCGAGGGCGCGGAAGCGCCGCAGGCAGCGTCTCCGCACTGGACGAGACGCCGCCTAAAGCGTGAGCGGGGCAGTGGAAAGCTGCGGACGGTGGGCACGGACGAAGGAGTGGTGGGCCACCCCACCGTGGACGAGACGGGGGGGGGGGGGGGAGCGTCGCCGTCACGCTGAAGGTCAGGCGCGGGAACGAGCGGTCGTCGGCCGAGCTTTGGGTCACCTGAGGCCATCCCAGAGGCCGCGTTGAGCCAAGCTGATAACCGAATTGACTTCTAATTGACCTTCACGCTGACAACAAGTTAATTGAATTGATGTGTTTACAAAGCAGCATACACGTTGCTTCAAAGGGTGTTTGAAACGCGTTGAACGCAATTCAGTTCAACTCAACGATGACTTGCGCAGGCGTATCAATTATGATGCCAAAGCGCTGGATAAAGGGGGAGGGCAAAGGGTGGGGCCCTACCCACGTGCGAGCCAAGAATGAACCGGGTGGCGCGCGCAGCTGCGGATGTGCCTGCTTTGAGTGAATGTGGTGGAGCTCCGAATGTAGGAGGTCTGTGTGGATTAGTTAAGGACCAGGAGGCTCCCAGCGTCGATATTCAGCGGGCCCTTGCCAGTGTAGTTCACCAGTTACATGGGATCCCTACCGATTTGGGACGTACCGTGGAATTCAGGACGTTTAACCTTTCTCAATGCGTCTGATTCTGTTTTTGCCCCGTTCAACCATTACCACTAGCTAAACGGTGGAGGTAGGATACCACGGTTACGGGCGCACAACCATGTAAGGTGGGACCGCCGTTCACGATGCCTGACCGGACCTACCATCCCGCCGACACCGCGGTCACCTGCGTCATCCTGGCTCTGTGGCTGCCATGTGTGTTGATGTCGGGTGTGCCGGACTCATTACGTGCCGAGTCGTGCGCGTAACATCACCTGGCTCGTATGCCGACCAATGGGCTCCTCACGAAGAATTTGCTCTTGTGAGGGGGCGTGATGGCGGCAGCCGGTGACGCATATCAGAGACCTACGGCAGCAGCACCCGCGCGCGCACCCCACCCATTGCAGAAATCCGCCCGTGCTTTGAGTGAAGATGAGGGATAGGGCCGACGGTGGGAGATCTTGCATCGTAAATCCTGACTAATGCATGTGAGATGCAGGAATGGTCCTCTAAGTATGTTTTCAAGTCTGCGAAACCATCAGGTATTCGGTGTACTGACTAGGAGACCACACTCTCAAAACGATGTCTGCCTGCGCCAAGAGAGTCGCAAAACGGAATGCAGCGTGAGTCTCGAGACAGCTTTAGTTGAAATGTGACCACAATGAAAGCTTATAGTGTGCATTGGGTAATTCAAGCGTGATTTTAGTGATATTCAAATTCGTCGATAACCAGGGCGCTTATCCCCAAAAAAGTTTTCTGAAAACTTTAAAAAATAGAAACTCCTTTAAGGGAACTCATTTAACGGATGTTTGCAAAGCTCTGCCATTGCATTTGACGTACACCAAGCATACGCTGGATTTGCTTCCCTGTCAGAGTTTGTAACTAAGAATATCTAGATACTGATTTAAACGAGTTTTTCAACATATTGGGATCGTAGCATGTGGCGTTCTATTACCTGTACCCATCTGTACGCACAAATGGTGCAAGATATACGTACGGAAATCTGCGGGTACGGGCCAATAAATAAATCGCCTTTTGACAAAATGGAGCTTTAAACCTGAAATGCTTATCTTCCGAACGACATTGCAGCATTTAAAAAGGCAGCTGCTGACAAGACCCGGGCTATCTCGATTCCGAGCCTCGGCTTGAGACATACACACTTGTCGACGTGTATTGTCGAAGCACATTACATTCACACAAGCAGTGACGTAAATGTGCGATATTGATGGCACATTCAGCCCAGCAGCCTCTCTGGCAATGCAGCATTAAACGCAGCTATGCCCGTGCGAATGACTACATTTGTGACGTCTGTGCCACAGCACGACGCAAGACAAAAGCCTCGAAAATATCGGCAGAAATATACCGGAGTACAGTCGAATTACGCCGAGCGTGAGTGCGGGTAATTATCGACAGTTTGAATGGCACGGAGCTAAGTGACAAGAAGCGTCGCACTGTTCGCCCGTTCGTGATAGCACGCCCTTTCAGCCTCTTCTGGAAGCAGAATCGTAGTTGGTCACGCTAAGATTTTGGTAGAGGGGTAACTGGTTGCCACCTAAATCTGCGGTTCAGGCCTTGTCCCGTGCGTGAACACATCTAGTATTTTCAATTTTACACACCATCACACGCATGTGTCTTGGTACGGCGATGACACCAGACATTACACGCCATGAACAAACCACCCGTACGCACACAATCACATCATTTAGTTAAGCCGTACCCGAACAGGCTAAGGAGTGAACGCACAAATGCCCATTTAATGACGTCATTCCCCTGTGTGGGCTATCGAATGACCACGTTTGGTGACTTTCCGAGGATAATTTGTGCACGGAATACTAACTGCACCCTCGGAAAGGGTTCCAGCTCGCGGACCACGAGCTGACGTCTTTTTATTCGTTCATCTCTACGCGCGTCCTTATCACCTTCCAGGCGCCACACAAAGTCAACCAATCGCCCAGCTCTATGCTCTGAAGGCTGTGCGAAGCCACGAACAAAACCGCATCCTTGCCCTAGCCACGGACGGTGAGACGAGCAGGGCTCTAGACCCCGCATACGCACAGTTGACACCGCTGTTGACCACCAAAACCTAAAGAGGTCGGCCATTCAGCCCACCACTAGCCTCTAGCCGCTTGAAAAGCCACGCAGATGCGCCAGCGTCATTCGTGAGGGCATTGTGGCATACATGACTGCGTGTCCAGTGGCGTTACACTAACCAGCGTTTACTTTGCCGCATAGCGCATAGCGTGGGACGGTGAGCGTCCTTCGTTGAGGACATGGTGGAAAGGCTCGAAAGAGAGCGGGAACACGCCGAGTCGGGTTTTACCATTATATCAGGCGATGTACGTGCGAACACAGGAAAACACGAACGGAGGGCATGGTCCTCAAATACGCACCGTGCGAACGGATGCGCAATTTGCGGCACAAGTCCCAGCTACGAAAACACTGATCCACAGGAAGCCACCACGTTTTGATGGTAATTCACGACGATCCTTCCGACCTCGCCTATCCAGTCGCCTCCCTGCCGTGGCGGTTGGAGCGGGCCCAACACGACCCGAATCACCACAACTCAGTCACCGCGCTCGAAGCCGTCCCCCCCCCCCCCCTCGAGCCGCGGGTCAAAGGTCAACGACCGCCTGCGGGCGCAAGAGTCTGCGCCCGCGCCTGTTTGCAGGCAGGGATTAAGGATTAAGGCGGCCGCCGGCCAGGGGTCAGTACTCGATGGTGTGGGTCGTGACCTCTTGCGCGTGCGGAGTGGACTTGCGACGGAGAGACGGCAGCTTCATGCTGCGCCGCGGTGATGATTCTTGCATAGCTGTCTGGCTGTCGCGCAAGCCCAGCTTCATGCTGTAGCTGATCACCTGGAAACCGCGCAGCAGCGTCAACGTCTGCATCAAGCTTGGCAAGGACGAAAGCGGCAGAAGTGGTTCCGCTGATTACCTTGTTGAACACGGTTTCCCTGACACACAAAACACAGTTTCCCTGTGCGACCCCGAACCAAACGTTCGCGACCAGCCTGAGCCTCCGCATACACGAGCACAAACAGTGCGACGCAGCGGAGTCCTCTGAGCCGACGAGCAAACGTGCCGTTACCAATTCACGCAAATCCAGAGAACTCAAACTTGTCCCCGAAATGAAGGCAAGAGGAACATATGGGAAGGTACGTTCCTCCTTTGAGGTGAGCCCGCGTAACCTTTGAGAGCTGAATTCTCTTGTCGAATCGCCGGAACCAGCTGGATATGTCACGTAGTGCATGGGAACCTACGCAGGAATGACGTGTAACATTTAAGAAGTTAGCAACACGCTTCGCGCAAAACTGCATCAACTCGCAAAGCTTTAGGCACGTGTTGCCTTGTGAATGCGTGTTGAATAGCTGGTAATTTTTGCTTTCACGACTGTCAAAGTACGTGACAGCTCTCTGTGGGCAGCAACTCACAATTCTCTAACCAGGCTGCGTTCCAGGAAAGAGTGCGCTCGAGCATACGAGCGGACCAAGGGGCTGTAGTACGGGGCGTCGAGGTCTGACGTCCGCGAATCGCAGGACGGTGAGAATCTTTTTATTCCGTCTATTACTTGGTTTTCGGCAACTTGAAGTTGTCTGTAGAATTTAGCTTCTTCCAAGATTAGAAGCTGGGTACGCTTGTGGGTGGCCCACACACCCTTGCCGGAGTGGGTGGTGGCAATGAAGGCGACGATCCGGCCCGAGAGGTGCCGGCCCACGCCTGAGCTCGGCAACACGATTGTCCTTCAGTGTCCAGAGTTCTAAAACGAGAGCAATGTAGCACAGATGCTCATTGAAACAGTTATTTGTTGTTTGAAACAGCCGGTTGAAGTGTTGTATGGGCAGCAGCTCGCATGTATATATATATATATATATATATATATATATATATATATATATGTGTGTGTGTGTGTGTGTGTGTGTGTGTGTGTGTGTGTGTGTGTGTGTGTGTGTGTGTGTGTGTGTGTGTGTGTGTGTGTGTGTGTGTGTTTGTGCGATATTTTTTCGAGCTAGTGAATGTATTTCATTTCAAGCGATAAGAAGTTGCGATTTGATCAACGCGTCTGACATGGGCTCACCATGACAACAGCCCGGCACCCGCATCGACTTCCCCGTGTTCATTATCTGCGTTGTCTGGATTCTCTGCGTGCATGACCTCACTGGGACATGGACCTACACGCCGTCGTCTCAGCAACAAAATCCACGATATTCGGTTAAGCTTAACACAATAAGTGCCCCGTAACATGGTCATTCTTAAAGCAGTGTCATACTTATGGACGATTCTTCTGGCGTCTCCTTCACGGGGCTTACCGATAACTAAGCGATAAATAGGCGTCTTATGCCCCAGAGGTCAAGGCCTTGTTACGGCATTTTGAGCGAGGGAAGACACTAAAGGCATGACATCTTTAACATGAACTTATGATCTTTCACTGAATTTCCATTTGTCCCGGATTTATGCCGCGTTGTTCGTGAATTCACATGAAAACAACACAAAAGTGCACAATATTAGCTGCAATCTTGTGTGATGGGGTGCACGGTGAATGTGTGTGATGTGTGAACGGAACTGGACCAGCTATGAAGGGGATGGGATTTGGCCGAGTGTGGGAGCATGTCCCCGCACTTCTCGTGTTAAGAAAACCCAGCTGGTGAAGTGGCAAGAAGAAGGGAGACAGGCAGGATAAATTTTTTTGCTCCCTCCTTAACTTGAAACGCGTTTCCGAAGGTGTCTCGGTTTGACTCGCCGAAAGCGACATGAAGCCTGCAACGTTGTTGGTTGAAATGATAATATGATATGCTCAGTTTTCTCTCCGGTTGTGCTAGCTTCGGATGGCAGCCATTTTGTTGTGCATTTCAATGGAGCCTTAGCTGCTTTGCCCTGGTTAGGCCGGCACCCAAACTCATTTTGCAAAACCGCGTTTCTGAGTGACAAGTATTGTAAACCACTCAAAATATCCGGGGACCGTGGCCGCAGAGTGAAGGAGCACTGCGTCGTGATCCGTAACAAACATTTTCAGTGAAGCACGCCGCGTACTCTGCAGCGCATGAGCTAGGCCAGCGTGTTCGACATTAGCAACTAATCAACCCGAGCAATGGAGAAGGCATCGACTCGCCTCGCTTGTGCTCCGACAAATATATCTTGGTTTATTTTGTTTCATTTTTTATGAAGGCGTTTTTATGTATTTTGACGTATCATCTTTTATTGTACTATTTTGGCATTTTGGTTTCTTGAATGCGCAGCGCCTCGGAGCTGCCATGGGTGGGAATTTATCTGCCCACAATCCACTGCATCTCGACCATCCTGTTGCACTCACGCAGAATAACCGCAATTTGCATCATTAATGACCTGCGGACCTCTCGGGCCATCATTAATGACTCGCCATTAATGCAAACCACATCATACAGTGCGCCTAATCCATCGGCCCATTTGGACACGCTTCTGGCTAAGTGCGGCGGTGTATCGTCTCATTAGTCGCCGAATGCGCGCTGTTTGGGACCCAGTGACATTAGTGGCTAGTGCCTGACGACGGTGAGTCGACGGCGAGGGCAAAAGGTCGATTGTCGAGCTAAGTATGCCTGAACAAGTTCCTCTGAATTTTCTTGGGAGAGCGGATTTTCAGCTCACTGAATAACGATGGCTTGGCGGTCAGCGACCTGACATTTTTTTATCTGATGTGATTGTAAGGGCCACACTGATACTTGCTGGCGGCTTGCCAGTGTCGGCCAGCGCCGTGGGAGTGGGTCAATTCATAAACTTAATTCCGAGCAATGATGTACCAGAATAAAGTTTTCCACCAGCCTGTAAACATTATCCTCTTTGCATTGAGAAATCGCTCGTTAGATTTTCCGTTACACTTAATGTCGAGTTTTGTCCTTTTAAATTGACTTTCGCCAAATCAGAATAAGAAAATGTATTAAAAGGAAATGGTTTCTTTATAAAATGTCTTTTTTAAATGTTAAACAAATCATCGCAAGAAAACTATCTTCCCACAAATGTGCGCTGCCTCGGCCATCCCCGATCTTCACCATGTTCGATCAACGGCGATCATCACCACGTTCGCCCAGCACTGATCATCACCACGTTCGACCAGCACCCATCGCCACCACGTTCGGTTAGCACGCATTATCTCCGTGTTCCATTAGGATAGATCATGACCACGTTCGATCAGTACTGATTATGACCACGTTCGATCAATACCGATCATCACCACGTTCGATCAGCACCGATCATCACCACTTTCGGTCAGTACCGATCATCCCCACGCCCGATTGGCACCGGTCATCACCACGTTCGATCAGCACCCATCGCCGCCACGTTCTGATAGCACTCATCATCTCCGTGTTCCATTAGGATTGATCATGACCGCGTTCGATCAGTACCGATCATGACCACGTTCGATCAATACCGGTCATCACCACGCTCGATTAGCACCGATCATCACCACGTTCCATCAGCACCCATCATCATCACGTTTGATACGCACCGATCATCACGTCAGATCAGCACCGATCATCATCACGTTCCATCAGCACACATCGTAACCACATCATCGACCTCATCATCATCCGTCCCCATCATCCATCAACCACATCATCGCTCCATCATCGACCGCCCCCTGGGCGTCCATCTCGAAAATGACGGAATTATCCCGATCGATCTGCCTTTCTCCAACCCACACCCCCACCTATCACATCAACAGTCAGGACACAGGCGGAGGTGAGTTCATCCCATCCCTTACAGACAGGCATGTGCCTGGTTTCTAGGGCTGTTTTCTGGTTCCCACTGGCTCTTCCGGCAGAAGAAGGCTGTGGATCTCTTGCAGTTGCGCGCGTGACGATTCGAATAAAGCAGACATGGCGATCATACGGAAACAGTCGCCCAGGCTTACTTGGCGCTGTGGTACGGTTACAAAGTTTCAGAACGAGGCGTGTAGCGTATGTGACCTGAGCTGACCTAAGCCGCTGACGTGCCACGCGGGTTGACCTGCGCGTTCCCTCTCGCATCGACGACCTCCAACCTACAGCGGCGTACGAGGCGAAACACACATGACCGATGGGGTTTTGGATGGTTTTGATCGGATGGGACACAGCGATTGACCTTCGGCTGCCGGACTTCTGACCTCCGTGACCCGGAACTGAGGTGCCCGGCCCTTTGCTGAACTCCTCCACGACTCCTGCGATTAGGCAGTCGTGCGTGCTTTTCGAGACGGTCTGGTGGTAACCAGTTTAGATCTAGCCTCCCGCACCGTGAACAGCTAAAATTTGACGTGTCATAACATTCTAGGGGTCTGGTGAGAGGGGACAATTGGCAAATTATGACCAAGGAAAAACAGCTTAGCTAAATTTATCATTCACTTATAAGAGGCATCTAGGTTAAAGCGGGATACATGAGGAGGCCTGTAGGTATTTCAGACACCGATTTGGAACCTGACATTGTCTGACCTTGCTTGGCCAGAAGGTCACAGTCTAGGGGCCCCAAATTTCGATAAGAATTAATTATCAGATGGCTCAACATTCACAAATTACACGAATTTAGTATTTCTACCTTTCATAATTTTAAAGATCCCTCTGTGCAATCAGATTCTGCTCCCCCCCCCCCCCCCCCAATCCGGCCGCGTCGCATTTGTCGGCGACCAGGGCGCGTGTTACAGGATGTGAGGTACGATGGAGGCTAGAACGCTGGCGCAGCCAATACTAACGAACGGATTGCGCCAGCAGTTGACACGCGAACACCAAAAAGACAAGGCAAGACATGAAACATTCTCTCAACACTACATGAATATAAATCATGGGGTTCGGCGTTCAGACGATTCGCCTCCTGCTCGTTATACATTCCAACCGCTTCCAGCTACAGCTTATGCCAAGGCTGGCAACGTGCCAGCAGCCGCGATGCCGGCGGTTTGACGCGCGACATTCAGCTGACGAATTCTCACACTTCATCACGTGGTTAATAAACACGTTGGTTCAATCAACCTTGGCGCTAGCTGAGGGCGCGGGCGGCGGAACGATGTGGAGGCAGTGTGATGCCTATGGTCTTTACTAGCGGAGCCGTGAAGCCACTTGAGTGTGTCTGCATGTAACGTGCATTACCTTACAGCACATTAATTTCCGACACGCCCCCATTTTTCGCATAACCCATCAGCGGCCGGTTCGTGAACTGGAGGTTGGCTCGCCCGGCACGCTCGCAAAACGTGGCTCTATGCGGGAAGGGCTGGCAATTCTTTGCACCGTCGTTGTTCCTTACTCTTTTGGGATTTTATCTGCAAATCAAGTCTGCCACGCAAGCTAGACTTTGAGGCCACCAGAGGCACTCGCTAACGCCGCATTCGTGGCCCACTGTCAGAGGCACATAGCTGGATTTTGAGCCGTCACTTTTGCTTTGAATTTTGAACTGAACGCCTCTCTCCTACCTGTAAGCTTCCATATTATCCGAGAGATGGTAACACGCCCCTGTTGTGTGTTGACCTCCAATTTGGAGCTCCGGTAATGGGCTGGTTTTAGCACAGCACTGAACAGCATAATTTGGCTTTTTTCGTCTCTTTTTGACAACTTGTTTTGACATCGTATGTGAGTAGCTATTGTGGCGGGGTAAAAGTGCAACTGTTTTACCGGTTCCTGACCGCAACCTGCAACGCAAAACAAACTTGCAAACATTCAGGAGTCTTCCTCGTGTGCAGAAATATTCCGACTGCGAACATGCAAAGTTTGAATTCAAGGTCAAATTAGGTGAACAGCCTGACTGTTCATTTCATGTTTTGATGGGTAAATGTAGCCTTGAGTTAAAGATCATGTGCACACGATTGCAGAATGTATCATCAGGATGGTTTGTAGGCATGGCTGGGCAGTATATCGGCGCTCCGTTTCCTTTGCTTTTTCACTCCATCTCCATGAAGCCGTGCGATATTAGCGTGCACGCTAGAAATCATTAGTTTTACTTGCGCGCCAAACCAGAGTCAAAGACGGAAGGTCAGTCAGTTATAGAGCCCGAGTCAATGTCATTTAGGGAGCCAGATTCGGTAAGAGAGTCATAGTCGACCAGACTGTCGAAGTCAGAGCCGGTGAGAGAATCAGAGTCAGAGCCAGTTCGGGAGTCAGTACCAGAGCCAGTTTAAGAGTCAGGGTCAGAGTAAGGGAGTCAGAGTCAGGTGGAGCGCGAATTGCTCCGCGTATTCGTCATACCACCCGTACCGGAACCAGGACGGTGACTCTCATGGAGTCTCACCGTGCTATGCTGCTAAGCCAAGTCAGTGTCATGTCGCCAGTAATACCAGCTTTGCACAAATCCAGTGGCGGGCTATTGCGATCTTGTTGCGGTGTGTTACGATCTTGGGCATGACGATCAGCAAGTCAGGCAATATGCTTTCTGCTCTCCAGTCGAAGGACGGTGAGACCTGTGATGCCAGATGCTTGAGCTTCGGACGCATAGAGCAGCCAGAATTTGCGGCGGAAGAGGGCTATCTTAACGAGCAATTTCCCGCCCCATTGATATGTTTACGGGCGAGTCCCCGCCCATTGATATCTTTACGGACGAGCTCCCGCAGCGCAGACATATTTACGAGCAAGTCCCCGCCCTTCTGACATCTTTAAAGGCGAGTCCCCACCTCATTGACATCTCAACGGGCGAGTCCCCGCCTCATTGACATCTTTACGGGCGAGTCGCCGCTACATTGATATCTTTACGGGCGAGTTCCCGCCCTTCAGACATATTTACGGACGAGTTCTCGCCTCATTAACATCTTAACGGGCGAATCCCCGCCCTTCTGATTACGTACTGCAGGCACACTAACAGACCCAACAAACACTCACAGGTACAATACTAGCGTATCAATGAGCTATCGACATTGGTGTGCCCTAGTGCCCTAAACAGCTTTTTTGTTGCGTACCGCACCTTGTTCACTCGGCTATGCCCTGGCCTTGGGACTAAGTTACGGCTGTTGGGCTCCGCATTTTGCTGCCCATGCTAGTGTCGTGAGGTTCAAAGCCAGAGCAGGTTTCCTGATCGCCAAATTCTGGAACTATTTTCGTTGGTGTGAGGGTAAAAAGCTGCGCTCGAAGCTGACGGGACGGGGGAGCGGGGAGGAGCCTCCCTTTCCCTTGGTTTCACTACTGTGCGCCAGCCTTGGTGTGTATGTAACATTGAGTACATACGTTGCATTTAACATTGCAATTTATTTGCACCTTTCAGCACAGAAAGGGAATTCCAAATCTACCACCGAAAAACTCACAACTCACGCGGTACATATGGAGCCTTCTATGTGTTCATGGTACAAGTGGTCCCCTTACTTGTTCGTGCTTATTCACACCGTGTCTTTGGTGCTTTTAAGAATAATCCACCGAAGGCCAATCTATGAACCCCGGCGCGCGTACTGTGTGTTTCGTTCTTTTTCAGAGTGGTCCAGCGTTGCTCAGTATATACCAGTGTGTAGATCACTTTTTTGTTCACTTGATCACTTGTTGGATTACAGTTTATTGATGTAACCCTCCTTTCCAATTTGAGTACAAAATGCGAAGTCGAGGAAAGCACGTGTTTTGTGTATTTGGGAGAAGCTTTAGCTATTTGTCTCTCTCAGCCTATGCCAACTTACCTCAGCCTCAACCAACTATATAACGTTCGTTAGAAAAACTATGGAATATTAGTTCTCAATAAATTCGAAATGAGCGTCAGAAACTATCCTTTACAGCAAACTCCACAGAAATAAACAGGTTGGTTTTGACCCCAGTCCAATCTTCATTCCTGGCCCTAGGCCAATGGAATTTATTCATTCAATTGCTATGCTGCCCAAAAAAACACCTCAGAGATTCATGGCTCTGGCTAACACTCTGCTGTTGCATGAGATTGAACGATTCCCTAGAAATTGTCTTCGCTGAAACCATGACCTGTCCTTGGCCTGCCGCGGGTCAGCGACCTTGCAAAGTGCGTCTAATTTGTTAAGCCTCGCATGGTTTAATACGACCAATGGGCCGGTCGATTTCCTGCTCATAATGCATGGATCGCCATCTCCGCCGCCACCCCCCACACCCCCTCCCCATCGCCAGCGTGTCGGGGTGTGACTCACCTGGAAAAGTTTAAGCCACGCCTGCTCCGCACCGTCGCCCCACTGGTTGGCCTCCACGAGGCTGGGACGAATCACCATGATGAACTGCTGTCCCATCATCTGTAACGGACGGCAGCGTCAGTATCGGGGCTACATGCGACCCGCAGCGGGCTCGCCGAGCACTACCAGACGGTGGCGGGTGGTGGGAGACGACGGCACCTGCTGTGACATTCGAAAGGAAGGACTGTGGCGAAGGCTTCCGATTGACGCTGCCGGTCTCAATATCCATTGCTTGTCATTTTTACATCGGACTTATAGACGTTTGCGACGCATCGTCTGAAAAGGATTCATTTGTGTGCATAATACTTGCTACGCCCTCGTGCAGCGAGTTGATGGCCTAGTGTCCTTACCTACGTAGCACAACTAGAAAAACTTCTCCGCGCTGGGTTTTTTGTTCTGTGTCCCTAGCACGTTGAATGACAACTTTTAATTACTGCCCACAGACCGACGTTAAGTCAACAGCTGAGCGTTAAACGTAAATAAAGGCTACACAGCACTGACGCGACATTTCGTCATTTGCCACCGGCACTGCGGAATGTTTAGGAGCGCTATCGTGGCGAACCATACGGGACGAATGTGTTCCAGTGGCGAAACGTGGCAGTAAGTTTCACTTTAAGTCCCCTTAACTTCCAGTGAGCATGGCCGCTGCTTCATCGGTGACCAGCATTTCTGCAAACGACTCCCGCACATCGACCAGCGTGACCAAATCGCGCACCTGGCACATCGACCAACAGAGGCGTCATGCACCACGTGGCTCATTCATCGCGGCCGTTTTGGCCTGCTGTGCTGCCGCTGCTGTTTTGGCTTGCTGTGCTGCCTCTGTGCCGCCGCCACTGCGTGAGGCATCCGCATCACAGCGGAGAACACTGGAAGGCATTGTGGTAGGGGCCTTATGAGTGTCAACAGAGCGGAATGGAACCGGACGTGCCGTCCTCACCCGGTGAATGAAGCCCCCTTCCCCCCCCCCCCCCCCCGTTGCGGATGTACGGCCAGTGCATACTTTGACCTGCATTCATACTATGAAGCATGGGCGGCGCCACGGATTGCGAGATGGGGGCAGGATTTTCCAGGGGGTCTCCCAGACAAAATCGGCTTCCTCCCGGGCAGTGTCGTATTCAAAACGGTGAGACACCGAGGGCACTCTTATCGAAGTGCCACGTGTACGATATCCAATTAAATACGACAACAACATTCAGCATTCTGGCAACATTCACCGCAGGGATTCCACCCACAGAGCAGGTAAGGCTTAAGTCCTTTTTATCTTTCTTATCTTTATTAATCTTCCCGGCTGTTAACATGCAGCGTTCGCCGGATGTCCAGTGCCGACTCCGTCGAACAAAAAAAGCCTGCTATCTCCAATCATGCAGCCGTCCCATTAGTAATCTTCTTTGCCGACGCACGAGTCGCTGGTGGGATTTCATATTTTGTCGATAGCTGGCGCGTATGAAAATGAAGCCGTCTATCCCAGACACATCTCGTTTAAATACTGCCGGGAGACCCCCCCCCCCCCCCCCCTCACATCCCCTATCTCCTTATGTCAGCGGTCGTGTTGCCAGCTGAGTTGCCAACTGTGGCCTGCTGTGTTGTCAGCTGCTGCTTGCTGTGCTGTCAGCTGTGGCCTATCGTGTTGTCAACTGTGTCCTTCCGTGTTGTCAGCTATGGCCGACCGTGTTGTCATCTATGGCCTACCGTGTTGCCAGCTGTGGCCGGCTGTGTCGCCAGCTGTGGCCGGCTGTGTTGCCAGTTGACGCTGGCTGTGTTGCCAGCTGTGGCCGGCGGTGTTGTCAGCTGTGTCCAGTTGTGTTGTCAGCTGACGCTGGCTGTGTTGCCAGCTGTGGCCTGCTGTGTTGTGAGCTGTGGCCGACTGTGCTGCCAGCTGTGGCTTGGTGTGTTGTCAGCTGAGGTTTATGTTGCCAGCTGTGGCCGGCTGTGTTGTTATCTGTGGCCGACTGTGATGTCAGCTGTTGCCGGCTGCGTTGCGTGGCCAGCTGTGTTGTCAGCTGTGGCTAGCTGTGTTGTCATCTGTGGCCTGCTGTGTTGGCATCCGTGGCTTGCTGTGTTGTCATCTGTGGCCTGCCGTGTTGTCATCTGTGGCCGGCTGTGTTGCCAGCTGTGGCCTGCCGTGTTGTCAGCTGTAGCTTGCTGTGTTTTCAGCTGTGGCCGGCTATGTTGTCATCTGTGGCCGGCTGTGTTGCCAGCTGTGGTCTGCTGTGTTGTCAGCGGTAATGCGGTCATCCCGTGTTCGTATGAATAACCGCGAGATGCATTGTCACCGCAAACCAATCCTTTAAGCACTAAATCCCAGGATCACCTGATCCGCTACGAGTAGCATATCGCACCATTTAGGGTGTCCCATTACCTTGTTTCCATCTGGGCGCGACGAGGCTCGTTGATCCAGCCTCTCTCGTGGGTTTGATTCCTGTGCCTTTATGCCGTTTGAAACCGAGCCCTGGATTTTGGTTACATTTCTCCGATCGCTTCCTGACAGATGCCCCAGCAGTTCAATACCCTGAAACCTTGAATATGCCTTTGCACACCTGTAGTTAAAAAGCAGATGAGCGGTGATTTTAAGGCAGAAAATCCCATTACCGCGCACGAAGCACGGAGGTATTCAGATGATGTTATATGACGAAGTATAATGATACAAAGTGTGCTCAGCTTATGGAATGAGGCCGTAGCTACGACGGCGAGTGCAGAAAATTTCCTATTGTCTTGTACGATGCAGCGGTACTGCCTGCCTGCCGCGTGGTTGGCACGCTTTGAACGGTTATCACTTTGAAGTTAAGCACTTGTAAACACTTTTTCAGCCTAAAAAGTAAGATTGTAACGTGTAACCACCGCCGGCGGGTGTCACGTATGGGTGTACGGCGTGTCACGACACGAGAGCACGGGATCAGATGCGATCTGTGTACTGAGAGACATAATCTACATGTGATGACGTAACGTGTCATGACACTTGACATGTCATGACACGGCACGTCTGAGTCAGGCATGACCGACATCTCCGGGTCGTGATAAACCAAGCTTTTGGAATTCCTCCTGGTGCTCGTATCCCGAAACAAACACTCCGCGGGCCCAATCTCACCGGTGTTTTCCAATTTCGCGTGCTTGCAAAGATGCCGCTGAAGTAAGAATCGCCGAAGCCGACGGCCGCTTGTCACCATAAAACAGGCCAACACCTGTGTTTCGGGGTGGACCACTTTATTCCACTTCTATCTTGTACAATTTATGATATGCGTTATTAATCTTTGCCCGAGGTAGGCATGATATGTTTTACACATTTTACGCATCTTATGAGCATTCATCACCTTTACTGTCTTTGCTACTCGTGATTACCCGTGTGGGCGGGCAGCGCTCGGATCTAACAGCTTTTCAATCTCAAGCTGTCTGCAATGCGCAAAACACGTGCAATACAATTTTTGCTGTCATTTTAACAAACCAGCACGAACGAAGGCGCTAAGGTAAAAGGTCTGCCCTGTTCCTAACTATATCTAACAATACCCACGACTGTTTGAGGCGCCATGTCCACGATTCTCGGTGACGATTTTGTTTAGCATAAACCCCATCCATGCGGCACAATTCAGTGCCAAAGAAAGCAAACTTCATGGGAACGCGAGTGTTTTCTTCGGCAACTAAGTCAAAGTATGCGCATCACACTTGAGCACATGAGAAATATGATGATCTGTGACGATACCGTACCAGCCTGATCCGCAGCTGGGTCCCTCTGGTGGAATCCGTTAGTTTTTATGCGAAAAATAATTACAGAAATAAAATGACAATAATAATATGACATAAATAATATATATTAATGATATATAATTTATGACATAGAAATTAATACTAATAAGATGTAAAATACATCCCAATGCCTTTTTTAAAATGTTCGTTTAAAAACGATCTATCGATCGAATTTCGACATACGGTAACTAAAAATGGATCAATAACAGCGAGCAATTGATTACAACTCCCTGAAAGAACCAGAGGCTTGCTGGGCCACACCGGAACACAGTTAAAGGGAGTGTTCTTCACTTCTGTTAAGTTTTTAGCGGAGATAGTCATCCCGAGGACCTTTCGGTGCATCGCACAACCCTGCAGTTCTTAAGACTTAGATCTTACCAGTTTATGAGCTACACGCCTGCGAATGTGGGACTTTTTCAGGGTGAGTAATTCAAGATCACCTTGGCATTCATGACATTGAAATAACGTTATTCAACCCCAGCCACAGGAGTGAGAAGAGCTTCTAATTTACCGAGTATGATCGGTGACAGAAACTGATGCCTTTGTGAACCAATTGGTGACAAATTTCCGAAAATGAAAACAACTTTCAACAAACAAGACCATATTACAGCAGATTACCCCTGCTCGGTGCTACTCAAAGCTTAGTATTGGTCTGTAATCGCCAACGCTTGCAGCATAACCACGTGTCGAAACGTTGCCGTTTCGCTGTATAAGCAAGTTGAGCCGTAAGATGCTGCCAAACATAGTAGCTTTAATCAGGATAGCTTTAAACAGGTGCCAGAAACATACTAAAAATTATACTATATCAGTGCTGACGTCACAGATCAGTGGTGACACAGTACAGGCCAGTGACTTTTACAGTTTTTTTTTAGCCAAGATTCACTTCATTTACTAAACATTATAAAGCACCAAATAGCTGGGCTTATTGCTAGTAAGAATCGTGGCTGGCCACAGCATCTTGCGACGAACGTTATCAGTTCGCAACGCAGCGTTTTAAAGCATCGTACCATTTAAGACAGATCGGCTTGATTGCTCGCCGCGCGGGAATGCGTTGGGTTCAGTGCAAGGCTATGGGCTGCTGCTGGTCTCTCTCTCAAGCTCATGCCGTGAGAAGATGGCTGGCTAGGGGAACATAGCAAATCGTCAGTTTTTTTTTTAAGGTAATGGCGTTAAAGAGCCTTGCCGCTGTAGGAGAATTGTGGTTTGTGTATACTTGAACCGTACCTTCGGAGGTAAACAGAAGACGTTGGAGTGACACGTGTCAAGGATTAATGCAGGGCTTCCTGTTACTGAGAGAGACAGTGGTTTTAAGGTAAGAGGTCGCGAATCGCTGGTGCAGGCCTCTCTCTCACACTGCTCTCGCCCCTCAGGCTTAGCGTACTGACCGGTGGAGAGGTGTGAGATAAAACGGTTTTAATTGTCATTTTATTGTATGCAGGGCCAAACGAAAGTGATAGGGACGTTCAAAAATGTCGTCTGCATCTACTGGCACCAATATTGCATGTGTTTCACACCAGTTGATTGGATCATGTTAGCAAGTGCGAGTTCTGCACAGGCAATGATTATGCGAGGATAGTGAAGGTCGCCAACGCTTTCAGCCGATTGTACGATGACGTCACGAAAGCAGAAATGATATTGTTTCAGGTACTTGTAAAACCATGCGATCGGTAAATGTTGGGCCACAGGGATACAGTTTTGCAAAATACGTAGGGACAAGGGGACCATTAGGAGGCCAGCTCGCGGCGCCGCATGACCTCTTCAACTAAAACCTCGCCTTACCCTGGTCGTCCTCCAAGCTTTGGGCCGCGACCGTAGCACTCCAATCTCCCGCTGGCGATGTTAAGTCGCACAATGGCCCCTGCTTCAAACGGGACCCGCCGTGATTGCTTTCTGTCGGCCAAGTTACGACCACAATCGGCTGAGTCTGTTGACTTGGGGATTTCTTCGGCAGCGTCCGGTGTTTGGGGACCAAATCCAAAAGAGTGCACGTGCTGGAATTGGACGAATTGGACGAAAAACTTTGCTCGGCAGGAGTGCGTCAACTACGAGGACCAGGAGCGGATGAGCCCACACCTTTGTGGAAATTTTGCATTGGTCCCATAGACGTCGACTGAAAAGAAATGACCAAAAATGTCTATGATCCCAAGCAACAACTTCAACGCTCACGTGGTACTCTGGACTCCACTGCCTCTCGAATCCAGATGCTTCGGAGTTCTGGGGCCCTCTATTTCTTTTTTAAGTGGAATAATGACACTCAGACTTAACCCTCCATAAATCAATCCATCCAGGGCACAAAGTGTGAAACTTTCGACCTACCTCTCCAGCTGGACCATTTCGTGCGGCATCGGTGGTGCCGTTCTGAGTGGCTAAAATTACCCTAGACCATGTCCAGGTCCCATTACCGGAGCTTCAACCGGCAGCCAATTCGAGCAAGTGGCGGAAATCGCGTTACTGACTTTGACCGGGGCGGAGGAATTTTTGGAACGGGCTTAAGAGCTTCGTTGGCACTTAAAGCTCCGAACAGCTATAGCACTATACGGGATTACACCAACGCGCTGCCACGAACGTCTGGAGTGGGTCTAGAATAAAAACCGCAGAGAGAGAGAGAGAGAGAGAGAGAGAGAGAGAGAGAGAGAGAGAGAGAGAGAGAGAGAGAGAGAGAGAGAGAGAGAGAGAGAGAAAGAGAGAGAGAGAGAGAGGGAGAGAGAGAGAGAGAGGGAGAGAGAGAGGGAGAGAGACAGACAGACAGAGACAGAGAGAAAGGAAGGGAGGGAGAGAGAGAGACAGAGACAGAGAGAGAGACAGAGAGAGGGAGGAAGAGAGAGTGAGAGAGAGAGAGAGGGGAGAGAAAGAGAGGGAGAGAGAGAGAGAGAGAGAGAGAGAGGGTGAGGAAAAACACATACGCACACACACACACACACACACACACACACACATATATATATATATATATATATATATATATATATATATATATATATATATATATATATATATCTCTCTCTCTCTCTCTCTCTCTCTCTCTCTCTCTCTCTCTCTCTCTCTCTCTCTCTCTCTCTCTCTCTCTCTCTCTCTCTCTCTCTCTCACTCTCTATCTATATGTATATAATGATAAGTCCATATGCATTCGTATCACGTCTAGAGGCATCATTATGCACATGATCTCCTTCCTCTTTACGCATCAATAAGATGGAAGCATGCCTGCAAGGCATCGGCATCACCTCCATCATACGCCCAGAACGTCTTCTGAATTGGCGTTCTGCTTGACCTTGACCTAACCTGACCACACGCGGAGTGACACACTTCAATGCAGTGTCATGTGTCAGACTGTACGGTTGTGACCACGCCGGCACCTGAGGCGGCACGCGTCAGTGCGCCCACATCACTGTGCTCCCGCTCACGCTGTTGCGGAGGTAGCTCACGTCAGTACTTCACGTGCGTATATGACGTCAGAGGCCTGAATGAGTGAGCTGCGGTTTGACTCCATAGCTCAGGTGGCCACTGAATGAATGAATGAATCACTGCGATGACGTCAGTGTGCTCCGGCTTCGTGTTTCGGCTGATCTGGCTCACGTCAACATGCTCACGTCAAATTACTCTGACTTCGCGCCGTGGCCATGTGGCCCGCATCCGTGTACTCCCGTCGGCGGCTTCGCGCCGCAGATGAGGTGGCCCACATCAATGTACTCACGTCAATGTACTCTGGCTTCGCACCGTAGCTGAGATGGCGGCATCCGAGCTCCGTCATCAGGCAGCCGTACTTGTCCTCCGAGTCCAGGCGCGAGATGACCTTGTTGACGAAGCCCATCACCCTGCGAACGGAGGGCAATTATACAGTCGCAGCATGTGTGTTGGATTGTGGGCGATTGTTACCGCTTCTGTTGTGGGAATTGCACTGAAACTGTGTCAGGATTGTCAGAATGTTCCAAGGTTTGAACGGGCCGAACTACGTTGATATCATTTTTTCATCGTTCAGCGCTATCATGCTAATGTTGAGCTTTTGCGAAAACTGGGTAAGCCGCGTACCCCCCATACCCTGCTGCCCGCAATTTAAACCTGGTAACAAAGGCCATGCTTGCATATGTTATTAAATGGCAATATTTGCGGATGCTTTTTAGCGACGCATGTGAGTGTTAGGGGCATTGGCGTGACACGCTAGGACCAAAGACGCCCGGTGGGGTCAATTCACTCTCAACGTGACTGGTGTGACGTCACACCGCTCCCGGAGCGGAAGAAGACAACGGTTATTCTGCAGTCCTCATAACAAGCGTTCCTAAGGCAACGCATCATGGGATCTCAGCAATGCCTGGTGTGAAATGCCTTCAAGCCTCTAAATGTTCGGACTCATGTATTAGAAATGGATCCAAGCAGTCAATAAACATCGTTGGTGGCTTACAGTCAAGGCCCGTTGGGAACATTGTAACGACAGCTCTCATAACCGCGTTTTGGACGACAAAACATAGCATGTCGGCGAATTCCATACGTGGTGTATCCTTTGCCATATTTCTCGCGACTGATAATCCAAAAAAGTATCTTGCAAAGCTGCATGGGAAATGCTCAGTAATTTCCGGCAGAATGTTGCCTGTGTGGCGGAGAACGAACGCTAGGTTCCAACCGACTTTCTTAAGTTAGTTAACGCAAAGGCTGTGATGGCCAATGCAATGAGAATAACGGTAGCGTATCTTCTCCTCTTATACAGCCGCCTGAACTGTATGTTGAATGCCGACTATTGGTGACCAGCTGGCGGGAAGCCAACCACATTTGGATGCGTAGGTACACCAAGTGGTGGAACAGGGACCGTCTCGGGACGCTCCGCGGCGCCAGCGACTTCACTCGGCTGAGCAAGCCGCCACTGCCCTCGTGAAGAAGGCGTGCAGCACATAAAGTGCATGAAGTGCATGGAGCAGGCGTGACAGGCCCCTAGGACACTGTCCGGTCATCGTAGGCGTACAGCTTCCGTTCTGTACAGCGCATTCGGAAGTGGTGGTAGCCTCCGGTCCAGTGCAGAGTGGACACCCCTTAGGTCGACACCCGACACCTCTCGGTCTGCTTCCACAAAAACCATCGACCGCGCTCTTCCCTCCCGGATGTGAGGGGTGGACGCGGCTGGCAGACGCGATGACGTCAGCACTAGCCCGCGACAGAGCTGCGTGTCTCAGAAGTCGTAAATACACGTCATGCCGCGCGGAAGAACCGTTGCTCAGCACGCACGTTGGGTTGTGCATCCTCTGGACAACAAAAGTCAATAGACTGACGCAATTTTCACAAAGGTGCTTCTTTTGCAACTGACTTCATCAAAAAGGATAGGATAGAACCCGATCTCAAGCTCTCTGAAAAACGTGACTTTGATACGTGAACGTTATTGGCTGTCAAAAAATACGCCACCCAGCGTTTCTGTTGCGATGCAGTTCAGTCGGGGCCGGTGTTGATAGTCACCTCGTTGAAGTTTTGTAAAAAAGTGAAATAAAAAACGGCGGTAGGTGATCGATTTCCAATAGACACTTGACACAACGATCACGTCAGCACCATTTCCGATGCCCTGGGCTCAGGTTACAAAGAATTCATCTACGGTTCCCTGTTGTGTGCAGTTTGCCTAGCATTCTTTTCAAAATATTATTCCCAGTGGCCTGTGCGAATGAATTTCGCAAAGAGGGCGAGCCAAACTTGTTGCATGCACCTTGACTATTCGAACTTGTTAGGTGGATCGACCACCCAAGTATTTCAGTTCCAATTAGTCACCCGTACCGCAGTTTTGTGTAAACTATTCCCGATGATGCAGGATTAGCGGAAGGCCAATGTTTCCTCTAATTCGTTGAGGGCGGGAGGCGGCGGCAGGTTCTTATTCGACGAGAGCGGGAGGTGGCTGTATGTTCTTATTCGTTGAGAGCGGGAGGCGGCGGCAGGTTTTCATTCGTCGAGAGCGGGAGGCAGCGGCAGGTTTTCATTCGTCGAGAGGGGGAGGGGCTGTAGGTTCTTATTCGTCGAGAGCAGGAGGGTCTATAGGTTCTTATTCGTCGAGAGGGGGAGGCGGCTCTAGGTTCTTATTTGTCTCGAGTGTGGCTGTAAGCGCTTTGCCAGAGCGTTTTATAATCGTGATCATCTACGATATTCCAAAATACGACGCGTTTTAACACATTGCACACTTAAGCCTTCGGAGACAGGTGCAGCTGACCACTCTGAAAACGAGCTTTGCGTCGATTGCCTTAGACAAACCACAGCTGCCCCCTTTTACGGCGCACGCAAGCGTCACAAACGCCCGGAGCGCACCGGCCATCCACGCATATACCGTGACCTAGCAACTCCGCCCTGGGGCCAGTTTCGCCGGGTCTGCTATTGAGCGCTGAGGGGACGGCACACCCTGTCCCAGAATGGGCGGGACCTGCGTAAGGCTGCGGGCTGTCAGCGAGGTCGTGCGCGTGTGATGCCGTTCTTCCAGCGCGAGTGGTCCATGTGATGCCGTTCTTCCAGCGCGAGTGGTCCATGTGATGCCGTGCTTCCAGCGCGAGTGGTCCATGTGATGCCGTTCTTCCAGCGCGAGAAGTCCATGTGATGCCGTTCTTCCAGCGCGAGAAGTCCATGTGATGCCGTGCTTCCAGCGCGAGTGGTCCATGTGATGCCGTTCTTCCAGCGCGAGAAGTCCATGTGATGCCGTGCTTCCAGCGCGAGTGGTCCGTGTGATGCCGTTCTTCCAGCGCGAGTAGTCCGTGTGATGCCGTTCTTCCAGCGCGAGTGGTCCGGGTGATGCCGTTCTTCCAGCGCGAGAAGTCCATGTGATGCCGTGCTTCCAGCGCGAGTGGTCCGTGTGATGCTGTTCTTCTAGCGCGAGAAGTCCATGTGATGCCGTTCTTCCAGCGTGGGCGGGTCCATAGAAGAGTTGGCGCACCGGCAGCTGGCTGCAGAGCAGTAAACCATCGGCGAGCAGGCTGGAACGGTGTCTGCGCGTGCGCGCAGTGCCACTCGTGGGAAGGTTCTTGTTCGTTGTTGAGCGGCGGCATGAACTGGCTTCATCGCTGCTCTGACAGGCGGAAATTGCATCCAGTCTTCGGTTGCAAAATAGTCGGAATAAAGAGCGACTGTAATTAACATTGTGGACGTGGGAAAAAATGGAATATTTCACAGGTGCGAACCTATGATAAACATGCCAGTGTTTCAGTAAACAAACAGCATTGTTTGACCAGGCGCCGACTGAGATGTTTTGCCCCTCCCCACCCCCCAGCCGTCCTCCACCGAGAAACTAGTGAGAAGCTAGGGAAGGGGATAAGACTACCCCCTGGTAACTGAGGGTTTATTGGTGGATCGTAAATATCAAACCGCAATCGATAGCCCCTCGATAACCGATTGACAATTCGATCAAGTTCAATTAAGCCCAGAAACCGTTGAAGTGACGTTGCTATCTGTATAATGGCTGTCACACAAGGTTCCTCAAAAACTCAGAACATTTTCGAGCTATTTCATGGCACCTTAAATTGTCAATCTTGATCAGTGGACCGTGAAACCAGCTTGCAGCGGGGTCGTGTAACCAGCACACAAAAGAGCATGCTCCTGTAATTTGGAACATGCCATGATGTTAACAAAGGTCAAGAGTTAACAAGGTCACGGACAAATGGCATGTTTGGGCAAGTTGTGATCAGGTCATCTAATCTTCCGTGATCACCTGAATGTTTACCCTTACGGCGAACATTAGTCACTGGTTTGAAAATATGTGAGTTGTTTTGATTTATTTATCTTTGATTTGTTATTTAATCGCATAGACTTGTCAGCAATGGGCTTTGTACGATTTTGGTTCGGAGCTCAAAGTCGATCTCACATGACCCCTGATGATGAACTGGCTTGACCGCAAATAGTAAGAGTGACCTCGACTGACGAACAGCGTCATCAAACGATGAATGTAATGTAGGCTTTCCCAAAGCAAGGAAGCGAAGGGGGGGGGGGGGGGGCGGTGAAGGCAACTATCACTGCGCAAGCCTTCACTGATGACGTCATGACTCTTGACTCGACTAGCCTCAATTGTGTGGGTTCCATAATGTGTCTAATTGATTGCCTGTTGGCGTTAAAAATTCTTTGGACCTACCTGGCACGCTCCTGAAGTGGTTCTCGAAACTGGATAGCCTTGATTTAAACCCAAGAGGTTTCAACCCCTCCCCCTCCGGGTTTAAGTGTCTGAGGCTGCCAACGGAGTCCTCGAGCATTGCACATTGGCTCCCACATTGCATCTCACACAAAAAAAACAGAAACATTTTAGGAATATTGTGCGTGGAGAGTGAATGGGTGGCAAAAAAACATTCCGTTCTGAAGTCACACAGATGCAAAGGGATTCTAGGCAAGTGACTGAGACTGCTTCCAGTAAACTAGTATTTCGTCTCTGTCTGTTTCACTTACTGCCACAGCCCGAAGCCATTACAGAACCGGCTCCATCGATAACGCAAGTGCTCTATGTTTCCACCAAAAACATATTCCATAGATCACTCAAAGGCATATGCGTGGTGAGGTAGATTTGATTGATGTTTGATGTATATTTTCGATTATGGACATAAAGCAGTACGTAACATGATGAGTGGATTGGCGCATAAGCGGAACACTTACATCTGAGCGTCTCTCCTAAGCGTCTTAACGCTTCTGCCAAAACCGAGCCAAAAGATGAATCAAAGAGTTATGAGCGGTAAGCAGCTTAGCTTTCCTCCATCCCGAACCGCGCAGGGTGCGTCCTTCCCACGGGCATCACGTATTGCGACCGAGCTGTAGTGTCTCCTGTGAGCTGTTGCGGGGTCTGGAATCTGCTTCGGATCGCATGATTGATCCCTGAAAGATCGTG